AAAACTGTCTCATTGCTATCTGTTTATCAATAAAACTTTGAAAAAAAATAAAAATAATAATAATAAAAAAAAATTCTTAGTACTGCAAAAAACAAAACAAACCTCCACTTTGGGTCATGTGATGCCAAGAATTCTGTTTTATAGAAACCACAGGAACAAAGTCATGAATGCACCCAACTCCCAACACAACAGCATTAGTGGAGGAAGCCACTACAACACAGCAGGTTTAATGTCTCAGGACTGTCTCATGACTGCCATCGTCACAGTAGCTAATGTCTACTGGCTTCGGACAATGTGCAGGCATTGTTCTAGCCATTTCAGCTATATGGATTTATTTAAATGTCATATAATTGCTCTACAAAATAGATATAATTTATTATACTTATTTTATAGGGAAAGAAATGGAAGCTCAGGCACGTTAAACAATCTATCTAAAATCACATGCAATTAGGATTTGTATTTCCCTGGCCTACCTAAGACTAAGCCACATCCTTGCTCTCTGCTCCCTTTGTAGAGGATGCTTCCCACTCACTCCCAATAGCAGGGTGAAGACCTGGCCACCACAGCCTGGTGTGAGCTGGAGGCCAGCCCGTAGGTACCTTGCTCCACGTGTACGGCAGGCACATTCCTGGCTGGGGTGGTGTCAGGGGCAGTGGGAGGAGTAGGCAGGCTGCTGTGGAACTCCCAGCGCTTCATCTGCAGCTGCTGCAGCCAGTACAGCATCACTTGCTTGGTGGGGGCCTGAGAAGCACAAAGATTAGTTGGCAAGGTCCTGAGCCTGCAGGGTGGCACTGTGTATAGGGTGAGGGGAAGGTGTGAGCTGGCACTCAGTGCTGAACTACCACATGGTTCTGGCTGCAGAAAATAATCACCCAGAGGTTTCTCAACTTTTCTGAGTCTCTGTTTCATCTGTGCTATGGTCATAAGAATAGCCCTTCATGGGATGTTTATGAGGATAAAATGAGATAAGAAAACTGAAGTGCCCAGCACTGTACTTGACACATGACAAGTATAATCTGTGCTCACTGGACAGTGGAATAGATGTAGGATAAGAAGGAAGGAGCCTTGGAATTCTGACTTTGGATGCACCCTGGTGTAAGTTCTTGTTCATTTTCCATCTATCTGTCTGTCTGTCTGTCTCTCTCTCTCTGACACCTGCAAGTCTTAGCTATCTTTTGGTGGAATGGGTGTATCCCTCTTTCTGGAGAGATTCACTGAAATCACAGATATGAAAGGAGCCTGGAAAGTCACATGCACATTATGACAACTTGTAGCACCATTCACATGGTCCAACACTGCAAACAAGTTAATGGCTGAGGCTAGTCATTAGTTTCCCAGTACTGGATGGTCCAAATGCTCTCTCTCATGCTCATTAACACACTAGATTCTCCAGGAAAGAGGCAAGGCAGGAATGAACAGAACTGTGGTCACAGAACTGGTCCCAAATCTCTAGTCTCCTACTTCTAGACCTGAGCTTTGCTATAATTTATGGCCAGATTTGTGGCTTAATTAAGGAAGGCATGAAATTAGCTGACGTGAACAGAGAAGATGGGCAACTCACTGGGAGCAGATGATGAGTATTCAGAGCTGCCCATGATCAAGGTCACATGAGAAAAGAAGGCTATGTGGTAACCAGGGCACACCCTCCCACTCAAGAGGGTCACAGGGGTATGAAAGTGGCTTTTAGCTGCAGTGTAGGCATCAGTAAAATGATGCCCACCAGCCTTCTCTTTCCATAAACTTTCCCTGAGGGGCCTCGTAAGGCTTCACCATAACCTTAAAGCTGATGAGCTCCAGAAAACCCCAAATACTCTCTTATTATATAATTCATTTTTAAGTGACTACTATATGAGTCAGATACTGTGATGGGCACTGGAAGATACCAGGGCAAATCAACACACAGTCTTGGGACTTAAATCTATCTAGGAGAACTGTGCCCTATGGGGGCCTTCTCATCCTGTGTTCCCCTGCTATCCATGACCCAACCAGGTAACATCCCTGATAGCTCTTCAACATTCTACTGGCTAACATCCCTGTCCACTGCCATCTGCCTTCCTTCCCAAGGCAACAGCTCAAGCTCAGCCATTTACTTTCTCCAGATCACCCCCTTGGGTTCTCTGATGACCAATCTCCCCTTCCCCTAATCACACTATGCTTCCTTGCTTAAGACCATGTTTATCAGGTAACTGTTTTGTTTGTTGGAAGACAATTTCCCTAGTCTGTTAGGCAAAGTCCAAGCTCATTAGCCTAACTCATGAATGCACTCCTGCCACTTCCGTTCTCACTCCAACATTTGGACCCCTACATATATCCCAGATTCCTATATGTTCCTTGCCTGGGTACTTACGCCCAATCTTTACTCACAGGGATATCCTGGCCTGGTGCACCCTTTTTGCTTTTGCCTGCTGGTCAAAAACGTGTTTTTTTTTCCTTCAAGCCTCAGGCAATGCTTTTCTGGATAGCCTCCTCTCCAGTCACACACTTCTTATGAAGACCTGTCATAGGGCCAAGGATGTAGCTCAGCAGAGCAGCACCTGCCTGGCAAGCAAGAGGTCCTGAGTTCGATCCCCCCTTCCCATCAAAAGACTTGTTACAGTGTCACTACAGGACATTTTACTGTGACTGCCATTTCTGCCATCAATTTTGCCTATCACATCTTGAGCTATCTGGGAGTCAGGGGCGGGAGGGGGACAGGACTAACTTGGCTCCATACCCAGAGCTTAGCACAAAGTCAGATGTATGCCTGGATCAGTGGCTTAGTAAAAGCAACATGTTCGAAACCCTGTGCATAGCCTTAAACCGGTTGAAGAAAACAGAACCTGGGAACCACATGCTCTCCAAAATGCCTTTGTTGGCCTCAAATTCTTGGCTTCATTATTTTATCTAGTGAGTCCCCCAGGCTACTCACTAACCAAGGACCTCTGACCTGTGAGTGGTCACAGATGCCTAGTTAGCTGCAGGATAAGGAAGAGGCAAATGAGTATGGGGAAATAACGCTGCTATTTCCTTGCATTCTTCTCTGAGGCCCATAGAACTCCTAGTCCAGAGATCTTTCCGATTAAGTGATCTGGGTTCCATAACCATGTATGTACAAGTGTTTTCACTTGACAAACACTAACTGCTCACTAGTTAAGACATGCCCAAATGAGCCATCTAGGCTGGCCAGTCAAAACCTATGTGTTAAGCTTCCCAGTCCCTGCTAATGTCAGCATTCATTTCCCTTGGCCAAAATATCAGAAGTGAATCAGAATCCTGGTCTTGAGGTTTGTAATGATAGTATCTTGATTATACTTCAGTCCAAGAAGGAAAGTTAAGGTTAACTATGGAGTTAGGCATACCCAAAAATCCAAGTTTTGATACAGCACTGAAAGCAGAAAGACTGCAAGATTCAAGTGCTTACTGCACCACTCTAAATGCCTTGCCTCCAGCAACACATCATCTCTCTGACTGAGTCTCTTGATCCATAAAACGGGTCCCTCGTAAATGCCCCTAGAATCCCACTGAGTAAATGGGTGTGAATGGGCTTTGGAAAGCACAGATCTAGGTGCAAGTTGGTGATTTACTGTGACCACGCACTTGCGCCCCCCTGTGCCCTGGGTACTAGGCATGCATCTCAGCTGAAAACCAAAGCGGTCCATTTACCTTCAGGATGATAACCCGGCTGGGAGTCTTGATTTCAAAAGTCCCCACCTCAGCGTCCGCCTTGCAGTCAAAGATCGCGCCCGAGAGGTCAATACTGTCCAGTGGATTAGCATCCTGCGCCGTCCGTGAATAATATAGGTGGCATTTCCTCTCGTCATAGAAGAACCAGCGGGATTTCCAGCCCCGTATGGGCCCTTTACCGCCAAATTTAAGTAAATATCCACATAGTTTCTTGGAAGCCACCTCGGGGGACGGACCACAGTCCCCCACCTCCTCTGGAAGCTCCACCTCTGGGCCCCGGGCCAAACCCGCAGACTCTTCGGACCCAGGAACGCACGAGTTGGACTGGAGGACGTCTTCCTGGGCGCCCTTCATTGCTGCAGCCCAGTGACCGGGTAGGGACAAAGGGCCCACAAGACGACAGGGCCAAGATCCCTGAGAGTCCTCGGCACCTACCCGAGTTAGACACCTGGGCAGGGGCGGTGCCAGCGGTGGACCCGCCCGCAGAGGAGGACGGAGGGACGGCCCTAGGCGGCAACATTTGTGTATCAAAGACAGTCATTCCCTCAGGAGGCCGAGGCAAGGAAGGGCTCAAGTTCGAGTCCCGCTGAGGAACTCAGCGAAATCCTGCCATAAATAAATAGATAGAAGATAAATAAATAAATAAGGAAGCAAGCAAGCAGGGGTCAAACCTCGGTTGGGAGCGGCTGGCCCCGCCCCGCCCCGCCTCGCCTCCACTGCCGTCCGGCGCTCGCTGGCTCTCCCAGACCGCACACTTCCGGCTTTTCCTTCATCCTGGTCAGCCATCTTTTCTGAGGGCATTTGCGTTCCGTGAGACGGGACTCAGGTAAAAGATGCAGTGGTTCTGATGTAGGGTAACCACGGAAAGACGCAGGAAGGGCCCCTGCCCTTGCTCACGCTGCAGCAGGAGCTCGCGCAGTAACGCAGGGGAAGGGCGCCGTCTGCTGTCTGTGGAGGCGCGCGCGTGCTCCTTCCTGGTTCCGTGCCGGCCACCGTCCGACGGCGCATCACGCGGCCATTGGCTGAGCGGGCCGCCGGTTTCCGGGACTTACATCCGGCGCTGCTCTGGCGCGCGACCTGAGGACTGGTGGTCCTTCCCTTCGGGGAAGCTTCCTTAGCGCCTCAGAGGCTATCGGCAGCCTCGCGGCTCGCGCTGCCCGCTCCGTGGCGTGGCGCTTGGCCTAACATCCGGGCGTCCCGGCGCGCCCGCGCTGCAGGGTTGGACGCTGGGCGCTTCGGAAGTTAAAGCCCCTGGCTCTGCGTGCCTCGGCTTCTTGCCTCGGGTTTTTGCTTTCCCATACTGTTCCGCCTTCGCACCCGAGGCGCCTTTCTCATGGTTTTCCAAGGGGCTTCATCTCTCTTGGTCCTCCGCTTTGTTCTGCTCCTGCTTACTCCCAGCGTCTCCCCTCTGCCGTCCTTAGCCAAACTTCGTGCTCAGCCAGGAATGACCATTAGAAGCGGGTAGGGTAAAGGGGCGAGGGTGCTGGAATCGCTCAGCACGACTTTCAGATTCCAACGGCCACCCTTGAGCTCTACTCAGCATTACCTTTTTGTCAATAAAAAGTTAATAACTACCTTTTCACCCTGATGCCGCCTGGCAGATTTATGTTGAAGCAAATAAGCGTGCAATTCAGCTTGCCCAGAACTCTGAGATTTGTAGTCTATGAGGTGGAGAGTTGCAACCACGAAGAATTTCTCATGCTAGAAGAGATTTCTTAAATTTGTTATTTTCTCTCCTCTCCCCTCTCTCCCCTCTCT